GTCAAAGTTTCTCCATTATCTATGTCTAAACACGTCGTTTCATTTGAGAAAGCGGCCTCCTTAGGGAAAACTAAAGAGAACTTTGTGGGAGTGATTGATAATTTTCTCGCCAGAAACCGGACCAGGAGGGGGCATATGGAATTTCTCAAGACAGCTATGAATTACGTGGAGGAATTTGATCTAGGGAAGGACGTTGAAGTATACAACAGAATGCTAGACGTGTTTCCCAGGGGTAGATTTGACAACAGAACTCTATTTGATGCTATCTGGGCAAAGAAGCATCCTCAAGCTGAGCTGGCATTAGACATCTTGACGCTTATGGAAGACAACTGGATCTCACCTGATGAAACCACTTACGATATTGTACATGAAATTTTTGGCCATGCAAGTCAACCTTTGCAAAAGTGTAAGCGGCTGGTGTATTGGTATCGTAAAATGGAGGAAATGTTTCCTAATCCTTACCCAAAAGCTCTACCTGAAAGTGATGCAGAGTTGAGCAAGCTTGCTCTGGTCAGAATGACTAAAGATGAGCAGATTATCACCATCTACAAGGTAACCACATAAAGAGGTTTTAAAATTAAGATTCAATATAAACCCACAGCATTTGGCAAAATCAGTCAATATATGGTATTTGCATAGTAACTTTGAAAAAATTCCCCTGACTCCAAGACAGTGCCCTGTTTTCCTCCACCCCCACCATTAATTAATTCATTTGATATACAATTCCTGCAGAAAACATCAGGAAAATATTGTTCAGTTTCCTTATAGGATTGGTCAAAGGCAACATATAGGAATGAATTTAATGGTATCCTCTATGAGAGTGCTAGGTGTCCAACTGGCAAGATATTCCTATTGATGACACAGGCATGAATTGTAACTTATAACCTAGCTTGCCTCAATTCCTTTAGACTTTGCTGTCATCATCCCTCTCATGGATAGCAATGTTATCTTCAAAGTGTTCTTGCCTCAAATTAATTGAGGTCATAAAATAATAAAATCGTGACAGTAGGGTCTGACACAGGATCAGCAATTTGTTGTTTCAATAGATGATGCAACCTCAGCACACAAGAATCCACAATAACCTATGACTTGTTGGTTATCTGTCAACCAACAGTCAGCCAACAAGGTTTCTCTTGGAGCTCTTCTTCAAAATAACCATAATCTTTTGTTTCATACAGTCAGACTAAAATCCATAAATTATCTCACATTGCCCCATTTATAAGAGACAGGGGAAAAACAGGCATGTAAAGAAAGATTAGCTTATATTTCTATTGGGATGGTGCTTTTATTGTACATATAGGAGAAAAACAATAGACAATGAGAACCAAGAGAAGTTATGCATTAGCAAGCAAAAATATTATTTGTGTGTTAGTTACTGTCCCTGATTATTTCCAGGATAATGCTGATGGTGAAGGCCAAGAGTTCTTGGTTGGTGCTCAGACTGAGCAGCAGAAGAACATTTTAGAAGGTTACAACTCACACAAACCAATGTATGTAGAAGGACCTTTCTTCATTTGGGTTCGTCGCCTTCAAAGATACTTCTTCACACTGAGAACTGATGCTGAGTTTGATGAGGAGAATGGGGAAGGTGGGTCAGGAGTAATGAATCAGCAATTTGTTTTCTTTTTGTCAATATGTATTTTCCTTGTAGAGCTCAGCTTCAATTGAAGGATAGTGTTGGTTTGTCACTCACTGGAGGAAACAAGTTTTAAAAAAGAATGCGACAAGAGATTGCTGCTGGCTTTGAAGCAAAATTTGGTATTTTGGGGAATTGTTTGCTTTCCTGCTTGGAAGAGGTTGTCACCAAAATTGGGACTTTATACTCTGATGAGTAATAGACTAAAATAATCATAGCTTGGGAATTTCTTACTAATCTACTTGTTATACTTGATCCTCTGACCCCCAAGATCCTATTGTTTTAAAATTCTTCTCTCCAGTTGTTCAACATTTCCTTGTAAATTATTTAGGAAAATCTGGTGTTAAATCAAGATAACAACTTTAATCTGATATGTTTGAGTATTACCCTTACCTGTTTGTTGAGTAATGTATGGATTTTGTCATAGTAATGAAATGGGTTGACTGTATTGTTTTTTTTCTTTTAGGTCAAATTGTTGCAGTCTGCATGAGTCATGCTAATGCCAGTGAAGATCTGCTGAGATCATGGATAACTAACCTTCAAAGTGAAAATCCTCAGTTAGCAAACATCAGTGTCATCTTTAACCTTAACCAAACACCAAGATAACAATTAACCCTTTAACCCCTAAGAGTGACTGGCATCTAATTTCTCCTTACCATATCACCCTTGAATCAAACATGAAGGTCACAAGAATAAAGGAAATGATCACCAACTAAAGAAGCTCTTGATTGTTAGACAAATTCTCCTTGTCAGCACCTTAGGAAATGTTCAGAGAACAGTATGGAGAATATCTATACTGGTGTTAGGGAGTAAAGGGTTAAAAGGAATAGATCTTGTACTTGTGGGGGTTGAAAAGAACCTCAAGTTGAAGTTATTCTAAACAAGGTTGATGTTTATCTTTCTTTGTTTAATAATGATGGAAATTCTTCTGGAACAAAGGTGAATACATATTAAACTGGTTAAAAATATTTGACCAAGTTTCGTTTCAAGCCACAACATACACGTCAAATTGTCACCCAGGCTTTGGCATCTTTTTAAAGCCTTGAAGTAGCTGTTGGAAGGGGGTGTAAGGAAACACATGATAGTACCGCAGTACATCCTCACCATGTGGAATTCCTTGACAATTCAGATCTAACTTGAGTTGATGCAATGCATTTCGCTATATTTATTCGCTGGTGTTCACATCCTATTTGCCCACAAGAAAAAGTTTCTACAAAGTGTTAAAGAATTTGTAGCTCCTTTCAGCTCTGCGGTGTATTCTTGTGGAAGCCCGCGTTTTTAAAGGATCGTATTAAGAGAAACGTATTTATGCATGTTTGCTGTGCTTTATATGGGACATCCACGGCCCCGTAAATTCGTGGTTTACATCGCAAACATTAAAAGGTCTCTCTCGCTCTTTAATGATCAGTTTAAGAAGCGTACATGAACAGTACCAAGAGTCGTGCGTTTTGTCCGGCAAGTATATGACGGTATGTTTGAACGAGTGCAAAAAATGTATGGTGAGACGAAACGACCAAACTTTGCGAATTTTGCTCAATCAACTACCTACCATATGTCCCTCGCATAATTGAAGGTCTCTCTTTCTATTACTTGTGTTTCAAAAACGGTCGAACGTTTTGCAAAATTATTTTTACCTATTATAAAGTAGCCCCCTTTGTTTTCTCCAGCAGTGAGGAGAACGAACAGGGCACAAATTGGAGACAATTGTCCTCAGCTGTTTCAAGTTCGCCCTTTTCTACTATATGTTTTTTAGCACAATGCCTTAACGGTGTCCGTAACCGTTAAAAGTAGTGTCATTTCATTTAACTTTGACCTTAATCAAGTCATCTCAAATAGAATATCGGATCTTCTCGTTATTGTTCCGTGTGATGGTCTGAACCACTTGCGACTTTCGCTAGGGTTCATCTAACCTCACTTAAGGACTACGCTTTGCTGGTTTGAAGAATGGATAGCAGCATCCGCTAAAAAAGTCCCCTTCCGGTGGATAGCGCAGTACGACTTGTTACCTAGCCGCTGGATACCGTCATTCGCCGGTTGTATAACTTGGCCTCGAGGGTCTATCGGCGACAAACCTACAGTAGCCTGTTCCACACGTGCAGTTAATAAAACGAAGCGCGAGTTATCGCGCCGTTAACTATTTGGCTGCATTTTACTAACTGGACACCTGGAACAGGCTACCTTCTGATGAATTACACCTAGTCTCGTACCCAGACCTTTCAAGGCCAAGCGGTTGTCAAATATACACGGTAGGACCTAAGTTGATAAAACTTCAAATAAAAGATATAAACTTCATCATTAACAGTCTAAAAATACACATCAGGAGAGAAAGAAGACGTTTAAGGGGCAGGAAATATTGAAATATGACCTCTGTTTTTAATGTGCTGTGTTCTGTCCGTATCGAGACTAAGCTTCATTCTGACAGCTTCACGAACCGAATAATCAAAAGTGAAAGACGTTTTATTTCTTCAACATAATATATTACAAAATATAAGTGTAATTCTGATTGTTTAAAACAGAGTCATTTGTACAATCTTCACATCCTATCATAAAAAATAAGATTCGCGTTCCAAAATATTATTTTCTCAAGACTTTGAGAAGTATGATTCAATAGTACATTAAAATCGTAGATGAATGAAAACGCCAATAAATACGTGAAAACTAAATAAAATAATATGTACAAGTAATTACTGTGTTCTCGATCAAGTTAATTTAGACAATTAAATATCTTATTTCCCTCCCTGTGAAAGCATGATCTAGCTATTGTGTCATGTTCAACAATCATCAATAGTGTTCATACTATTTCCCTACCATGATACAGTTCCAATTTTAATTTCAGTACATTGAGGATGGTTTCTCCCATTTTGTGAAGAGGCTAGAATTAGGCTAAATCTAAATTTTTGCTGTTACTTGACTACAACTAATTATTAAAAGTAATTTTCAATTAAACGGCGAACCTGAGATTCGCATCCTTGATTGCCCAGGTTTTGGTTACCCGCGTTTTCCCGCGCTTCTGGCAGTTTGCTAGTTAAACTTTGAAATTTGATTGGCTCCTTTCGCTTATTTCTTTGTTCTGATTGGTTGTTGTGATAACTTTGGTAGTGGTTTATGACACTCACTTAAAAATCACTATGTTCTAGGATTTTACAGTCACAAAAGACCTTACTCGTGTGGTTGTCACATTGCTCACTGTCGGCTGACGAGTACCAAAGAAAAAATTCTCTTTAGCAAAGAGATCTCGTTTAGTTAAACATTTAATCTTAACTTTCGATAATAAATGAGGTCAATCTTCTGAGAACATCGCGCGCTCTACGACAAGAACTATCAAGTGGCATGAATAAGGAATACTGAGTGGTCGAGTGCTTTACAGAGTAAAAAAACTATAGCAAAACAAACATGCCAACAAACACAACATAATAAAAGAAACAAGCAAAAACAAAACTTCCTCCGATACACAAACTCAAAAAAAGAACCTAAGTTTGATCTGACATTATCCTTTCATTTAGTTCATTTTCCAAACGATTCCCCATGAGAAATTGAAAAATTAAAAATAAATAAATATCTTTCTTCTTGAATTATCAGTCCAGATCAGAACGGTATCTAATATAGATTACAATACAAACGAAACTAAATAGCAAAATTTGACATAGCACCATACGTTAATCCCTTAACTCCCATCAGTGACCAAGATAGAATTTCTCCTTACAATATCAATACAATGTCAAGCAAACAAATAACGAGAATAGAGAATAACATAAATAAGGAGATCAATAATTGATACAATACCAAATTCTCCGAACTAAGATCATAAGAATTGTTTGGCAGACAGTAAGGAGAATTATCCAAGAGATCTGGGGAGTGAAAGAATTAACAGATCTGAGGTAAATCTAAAATGTAAGGAGTCTCTCTCGTGAGGTTCCCTTTACAATACAAGAGGATGGCTCAAATTCTTGAAGCTTTATACGGACAAACAGACCACTGTGGGGAATCTCAACACCTGTTGGACTTCGCAGTCGGATGTAGTGAAGTCCTAAAAAAAATATGTAGCAAATAAATTAATCACAAGCTATTTGGTTTGTCCGTAAATTGCTGATTTTTGGAGGAGGTGAGTAGGATGCGGCAGTTTTTCTACAAAAATGGAGAGAAGTTTTAACGAACTAGACCTTTGAGCTACCCACAACTGTACTACATAGCCAGTACACAAAGCGTCTTCTCCCTTAAAAGGACATTTTATGCAGGTTAAAAGACGTCTCTCTACGGGTCAGTTGTAGGATCAGAACTTCATGACCTTATAAATAGTTTGTGACGATTACAAGTACAAGACTAGTTGGAATTGGTAATTTGGTTCAACAGGAGATTTTCAGTTCTCTCAGAACTTTAACTTACCTGGTCTAAGACTGTCCAAAGAAAGTACATTTTGAAAAATAATTCTGCTTTTGTTTCTGTTCAGCAGATGGACTTTGAAGTAAACCAGACACTGAAAGGCACAGACAAAATTTAAGTTTGTTAAAGATACATCAGTGATCATTTTTCACAGTTTTAGTTGGTATCAGTGATCAATCCATTTCTCAACACTTACCAATTCCGGCATGATTATTTTAAAGAGACGCTTGGCATTCTCAAACTGGGGATTCAGCTTGTCCATAGTTGGCTAATGAAGAAATAAAGAAAAGCGTCACCAGTTAAGAAAAGAGGACTACGCCCATTAATGACAGCAGGAACACCAAACATTGTACAACACCTGAGAACAGTGCCACCACTATATATGGACAACCAAAAACTACATCAAATTGGCCTTATAGTGTCGCTATTTGTACTGTTGACATGCAATCCGCTAATCACTTCTTTTACAATTTTTTGTGTGGTAAATTTCAAAGCTAACCTCTGTGCTGAGCGATGCACAATCTTGTGGGACACCAACTATCTCAATATCAACACGAATTGGAAGATAAGAGTCCTGATCCAAGTGCAAATATTGCCCTGATAACACCTAAAAAAAAGCCGTTTAATTTCAAAATTTCTTATGGATATAACGTTTACAGTTAATGAAAGCACAATATCAAATGCCTAACCTACAAAAGTGAATATAAAGTAAAGCTTATTCAAGTACGGGTATCCAATTGATTTGCCATTTTGGTTTAAGCATTATAAAAAATGTTTTATGCTTTTAAAACACCATCATGTAGACCCTCTGGTTTTTTCTTTGTAACTCCTGTGAGAGAACTTGATTCTGCCAACCTGAGAGCAAGACCCTTGGCCAACACAACGTTTCCGCATGCGCAGACATTTGACCATTGTGAAAGTCCAATCAGCACCTTGACTGGGTGTCACACCCATGACAGGCAAACCCTATAACCAAGAGGTCCCACGGAATAGGACCAGGCACCCAACACAGAAATTTAAGGGGAGAAAAACCCAGAAAGGCTGGAAAGCTAGAGGGGGAATAAGATAATCTAACACAGCAAGGGATGGACCCATGGGCTGCAAACTTTTTTGAAGAATTTTATTCCCCTTCCCTTTAAATTAATTCAATCAACAGAATAGCAAACCTCAATGGTGAAGTAACATGATTTTCCATTCTTGGGACTTTCCTTAATCATTGGGTGATAATTTGACTTCTCTGCAAAAAATTAACAGTCAATTGAAATCAGTTTCACAAGGGCAGGGGCATGTGGGTGTTAAAGGTTAATTCTTGATAAAACAGGAACAAGTGTTCCACAGTTATTGTTGCCACCATGAGATAATAAAGACAACAGTGTTCATCAGTACAAATTCCTTACCTCTGTTTCTCAAAGAATCAGGTTTTAAAATATAACCACATCCTCCATTCTTCCTGAACAACAGTGTCCACCAGTACACATTCCTTACCTCTGTTTCTCAAAGAATCAGGTTTTAAAATATAACCACATCCTCCATTCTTCCTGAACTTTCCTTGGTTTAGATGCATGCTAAAATCTGCAAAATAACACCAATGATCAATAAAAAAAAAACCCTAATTTCCTCTCTGACACCTGAAGGAACATGAAATAATCAAGACAAAGAATGAAGATCATCAGATCAAAGATGGAAACCGAATTAAATCCCTTTAAAAACTCCTTCTTTTTTGTCTTTTGTGAATTAACTGTAAATGAAAATTTACTGGCTGAGATAGATTATAGGATAATGATCAGAATAACTATTTCATAAGAGGTGTTCTTGAAAATGAAAAGATTTTCCACAGCATATTTACTAAATGATCTTGTATAGTATCTCAAACTTTATGACAACAATTAAAATGATCAAAAACTGATCAGGGCTTCTGAGAGACAGAAAAAGGTATAAGGCTAGTAGAGATATGTGAGTTGAGGTTATGATAATTTTAATTTTGAGATATTTGTGGTTAAATATAATAAGACTGTAGAGTTTCTTTTGCAATTTGTTCTTTATAACACACCTGGTTTTTGAAAATTAATTGCCACCATTTGAATACCAGCATTCCACATGGTCTGGGGATTATAGTTTGATGAGTCCACTCTTGAACCTTTGGGATATGTCCTGACAATGTGCTTGTTAGCCAAATACAAAATATCTAAAGAACACAAAATAAGCATTAGATCTTCATGAAACTACACATTGCAGTACTCAGCATCTGTCTGAAATTACATGGAACAGTCATGTGAGAGTGTGCAAATGTGTATACAATATGTGTATGCAATATATATATATATGTCATATTATTTTGTAAGAGATCTTGAATTTGTGGAATGCAATAAGTTCTAAGGTTCCACTACTATGAAAAGCACTCAGAATTTATTTCAGTCTCTATTTTTTCATGTGGGCCTCCATCTTTGCTCAAAGAATTTCAGCTTTCAAAACCACCATCATCATAAAAAATCCAATTTCTCCTTTCAGAATTTCTAGGAAAAAAAGCTATGTCCCCTGTTAATTTTAAGACTAGTTAGAGGGCTAAGTAAGACAGGAAAAGTTACAGAAGAGACATGTCTTATGTATTTTAAAGAAAACAAAAAAATTACGAAAAGGATCAACATGTAACTTCTCATGACCATATTGATCCAATACTTACCAGTAACAAACTGACAACAAGAAAAAAACAAACTTAAAGATATCAGCTGGGTGATGTTTTCCTGATGTAACACCAAATTCTCTTGACTAATTTACAAGGAGATGTATGACAATAAGATGGGAGAATTAAAATTCAGATCACACCTCTTGGATGCCCTGTAATGGCATCTTGTGCTGCTCCATCATTAAATGAGTACATCTCACAGCAGTCACCAGAGACTTCACTCCTCTTGTAAGGAACTGCACGCATATACACAATCAGTTTTCCCATGGCATCTTCTAATGGGACCTAGAAAACCACAGTGATGGTGAAATAAGAGATCAGTATGGTCTCACAAACACAAGTAAATTGAATGCCCCCCCTTGTCCCACAGCAACATAAAGCACAACATTTTTTCTAGAAACTGTCAAGTTTTCATGCAATACATCAAGATATCATTATGATCTCTGTATGTTCCTCTCCCTAATTATCATAATGGAATATGAATTTTTAGAGGACTTACTATGTGATACTGCTCTTCACTTGTTGAGCTCTGAAATGAAATATGGAACATGGTAAATGTAAAATGCTGGTCATGGAACCAATTTAACTTTGATTTAACATAAGTTCTTTAATTCTTTTACATGCCATTAGATGCCCTCTGGCTCAATTATGTCATTTTTCGGTGCCAGATTCTGTTGTTATTCCACTTGACCAACTGATGGTCCTATTTACTCAAAGCTGGGAGAAGAAAGCTTTTTTTAAAATAAGACCACAGTACGTCCTCAGCTGGAATGTTGACAAGTCAACCCAGTGGACATGTCGTATGCAGAATGCAAATAGTTGTGAAAGGAAAGCCAGTTAAAAATTTGTCAGGCTTTTATGGGATTTAAACTCATGGCCATCCAGCTGAGCTATCAAGCCAGCTATGTATTGCCAAGAATATCTAAATCAAGATGATTTTTAAACTTAATTGGTTCCGCTCCTGACTGTGATTGAATTTGTCCCATGCTATGTTCATTTTGAAACCAAAAATTAGTAAACCCCATTACCTTGTCATCTGTCAATGTGGTTGTTGTTGAAGATCTCAATCTAGTACCGAGTGACTGTGATGAAGGTGTTCTTGCCAACATTGCTTCAGACTGTTGACAGAATTCAGAGCAATGAACTGAAAACATTCTTTAGCAGTGAAATATTGGCCTAGGTTCAAAAGTGTCCTGTACTAGAAGGGGTACTAAAATAAAAAGTTAACTTTGCTTCAAAAATCAAATTTGCATTTTATCATAACTCTAGTTAGTGCATGAAAGACCTGACAAGCCAGCATAACAAAACCCTATTCTGAGTAAATAGAGGTTACAAGGTTTGCCAAGGGCAATCTATTATACAGGTACACTGTAATTATCAAATAAAAATAAAACTAGTGATGTTTGGTACCTGACTTGAAACTAGCACTCTGCTGGTCTTCTTTACCCTTGGAGTAAGACCCTATTTGAGATTAAGTCAACCATTAACATCTAACTCGAAGAACAGAATACAAATAGTACTTTCTCCAGAGAAATGGCCATGATTGATTACTAGTGATATTCACTTTCTGTGCAACTGACATGAAAAAGTGTCCTCATCAATAAAATCTCAACAAAATATATATGAATAATGTGTAAACCTAGTCCTATATGAATTTATATGAAGTACACACTAAACAATATACACAGTCAATCCTGAACATAGGAGAGTCTGTGTGGAACGTAATGCTGTAGTCACCAAGTAGCCATGACTAAGTAATACTATGTAGTACTATGTAAATCAGTATCAGGAATCTTATGAAGGTCTTACTTGCATAAAGTAAGTCAAACCCACTGCAGTCATTCCAGTGCCATCTCAGAGAATTTGACATTCAGCCAGTATTAAACATGTGCTGTGTGAAGACTACAGTTAACACCTTTTCGCACTACCTGTAACTACACTACCTTTACATAACCTTGGATCTAAATACTTACGGAGATTATAGGAGTAATGGCAGTTGATATCTTGTGCTGAAGGATGAAAAACAAAAATGAAAGGAATATTTAATATCATTATAGCCCATTCATAACTCACACAGGAACAAAGAAAACCTTGACTACATCAAATAAAGTGCTTGTTTGAATCATGATTTCACCTTTTTCTTGACTTTAATCTTGCCTTTCAACAGAATTTTTCTCTTGAGCTGATTTGGTGAAGGAAGAGTATTGATACTCATCTCATCACAGAGGTTATTTGTTGCCAGCATATCACCAAGCTCAGAAACAAAAATGTCAGCCATGATCGCCTACAGATTGATAAAAAAAATGAGACCAAATGTATTTTTAAATTCTAGAGGAGCATTGATCATAGCATTGAAATATCATTCCTTGAACCTACTTGTTGTTGCTCACAGCAGTGATTCTCTAGGGACAAAATCAAAGGAAAATCTGTTGTCTCAAAGGCATACTCCTGTAAAAAGACACAATACAATAAAGTTAAAGTTCACACAATAACATCATGATGCATATTCTCTGTATTGTCCTTAAAACATTTTCAATGTAACAGTTACTTTTAGGGAGAGTTCATTTTTCAAGCAAGAATTTGTTACGTTGGAGATCATTTCTTTTCCTCTCATGACCTGGATGTTAAATTCAGGGATGATATTGTAAGGCGAAATTAGTTGCTAGTCACTCTTACGGGTTTAAGAGTTAAAATAAGGTTTGCAGTATGCATGTTTTCCCTAACATTTATAAAATAATATGTATTAGTTCCATTTTGCTTATAATCAGAGCATGTACTTCTTGTTGCTTACTCTGCTGGCATTGTGCAAAGATGCATTTTACACCACTATTAAACAAGTTCAGTTAAACATTAAAAATGGTTTGTTTTGTGTTGTATGTTTTTAGTAAAGTTTCAAAAAGTATGATTTTCAAACACAATCACTTTACAGTGTTATAATTACACACCAAGTATATACATGACACAAATATTCAATGAACATATTCTCAACAAGAATTGCACAATTGTAAATATGCCCTGCGGAAAACACTGCAAGTTGATCCAGTTCACCCACTAACAGTATTCCATCAATGCATCAAACAAAAGCAAGACATCTTCAAACCAGAATGATGCAAAGCTTTATCAGGCCTTTTTCTGACAACAGACTTTCAAAACAAAGTTAAATTTTTCTTTAAACCACACTCTCTTGAGTGTAATCTTTGTCCCTTCCTCAGCAAAGGATCCTAAACTTATTTTTCCAACAGTAACCAGCGTGTATTAGAATTAAGTGGTTAAGTTATATCATGCATTTATCAAATCCCTCTACTGAAATAAAAAACAAGGCATCATTCCTACCTTAATAACTTGCACCACATCTCTGAACCTGACTTTAGATGTGAGTGTAAGTCCATGTGTTATCACAGGCTCGTCTGAAATCCAAAGACAGTTTCTTTCCTCATTTTACAGCAGAGTAATATTGATTTTAAAAAATTAAGTATGTATTAGATAGTGAAGAAAACAGTGACATGTAACCGCTTAGGCTAATAACATGTCCATTTCATAATATTATATAATCCTCAATTTTGAATTTTTATTCCAAAACAATATTGTCTTGTAACCTTGAATGATGTAGGAGCAGGTAAGCAAATCATCATTCCTTGCCCATTCACAAGTACTGCTAATAGGTTATGGTGCAGCTAAATTGTGGAACATTGAGTATTTGAAACCACAAGTTGCAACCACTGACAGTTTAAATATTAATTATCTCATTGCTGAGTTTGAAATTTGATTTGAATTGGGATGTCTAGCATCTCACAGAAATCAGATAGGAAATACCTATCTGCCTTTTAAAATAGATATCACATGATTGTCTTGTTGTGTTTAGCATCTAAACAAATATATACTGTTGCCTTCAGATATTTTTTATTTAGCCCTCACATTACATCAACAAGTAAATTACATTTCACCTACCTGGGCCATCCCAACAGTCAAGTTCAAGACAGCGACAGCCCTGTAATAGAGCTCTTACATAAGCCTCAAGACTGGATTTGCCTTTCAGTTGTCGTCCAGTGAGATAGGTGTTGTGAGATGAGTTGATAAAATAATCAGACAGAGGCTGATCCATGTCCTGTATAAAAAAAAAAAAAAAAAAAGGGAAACAAATCCCGATGACTGTGTAACAACCAAGATCATTCTATTCATCACAAAACAACAGTTCAAATTCAAATATTAACTTTAAGTTTGAATTTTGCGAGGCCCCTTCTACTTAATTTATGATGCTACATTGTTTTTCTTTGTGCAAACCTTCCTCAACAATATTGAAAAGAGAGGAAGGTCAATAAATAGCTAACTTTACATATATATTTAAATCTCCCCCACAAACAAGAACATAATTCTTAGCACAGAGGGGGCCCCATGCTTAAGTTTAACCAAACAACATTTTCGAGGGTGATTCACGCACAACTGAAATTCAAACACACATTCATGTCAAAATCCATTCTGACAATTCTGCCTGATTCAATTCCTATTGGATAAATCAAATCACCCCTCACTTGGTGGACAGTTTTCTCTTCTGGATTGACAGCAGAGTTGTCTTCACTTCTGAGATAACTGAAATAAAATAACACAACTCTCTTAATAGTTGCTACTAGTTTAATTTTGTTAACACATGATAAGGCTGCAGTTATATTTAAAATTATCTTCTTTCCAGAGTTGTAAAGCCCATTTAATTTTATCTATAAATGTGAGCCTCAAAGATATATCACCCTTAGCTCAAAGATTTAGCTCAAATTACGCAGACAAAATTGAAACCTAATCTTGCCTCCTCAGTCATTTGTCAATTTGTGTCATTAGTGACAGTTTATATTTTGCATAACTTCAAAAAGTGGTTAAACCCTTGGGAAATTAAAACTATCATCCAAGTTTATTTTAGCACAGAGAAGTATCCCATTACAAGAAACATATTCAGCAAAAAGTGTACTAGTATGGCCAAGTTCACAGATACTTTTCTTTTTTAAGTAGAAGGTTATAGATCTTAATGATTATACTGTCCTCCAATAATAGTTAAATAATAGTTTGTACGAGTACCTGAACAGTGATTTCTTGATAGAACTTTATTTACCTTAAAAATCCATGATATGACAGAAGAGATTTACTCAATCTGAAGAAATCTGGATTGTCTCCTGCACATCTCTGCTTGAATATCATGTGAAATTTGTCATGAGCTGACATCAGCCTCGCACAAGCAGCTAGACTTAGTGTTTCCTGTTTATAAAAAAAAATCATATTTAATGGATCTCCTACATCACGACTGTCACTGTTACTAACAACTTCACCATCAACAACATGTATAAAATATCAAATAATATCATCAACATTCTTGATAACTTATAATTTGTGTATTTACCAAAAACTTAACACAAGTGTCAACACAGATGTCAAGTGTAATAATTCTCCATTACTTACCTCTTGCTCTCTGCTAAGAAATTCTGCAAACTCAGCTGGTGTCATACCAAGGTCAGGGTATTCCTTTGCATACTTACAAAACATCTCGTACAACTGTTAAAAAAAAAAGGTTAAAAAAGTTATTACAGATTGACATTGACATAAGGATATTAAATTACCCATAACTTTAATTGCAATCAATATCTCTTCCATAATGCACATGTTATGATTTTCCAAAATGTAGTAAATTAAAGCAATTTGTACTATTTCTACCCTAGAGATAGATAATATTGAAGATGTATAATTTTTCACCAAGAGTGGTCATGAGAGCCTATAAGTAATCAAACAAGGATCTTAAGACCACAGTAAGTCTTGGACTGTTCTATTTAACAGTCAGTGTGAAAATTACAAGCTTTGTAGCATGGGACTCTTAATTTAACTTCAAATCACCATTCCCTGGAGTCAATAGTTCATGACTGCCCTTAGCTACTGGTATTATGAACTAAAATGTAGATGAATTTTGAGAGAGAGAGCATACAAAAAAAAAAAATGAAATCATTTGGCAAAAACCTTTAAGATGAGCTTAATCATCACTCCATGGCCTTGAATAATAATAATGACTGCTCTCATAATGTTTTAGCAATGAATACATAAACTTTAAAGAAACACCTTTGAACATACAGTAACTAGCCTTGTAACAATACTAACCTTCGGTTGTTTATTTAGAGAGTTGAAGAGCATTACAAAGGAGTTCCACAGCAGATTCTCATTATGCTGAGCCATTCCACACTGAGCCTCAAGTACATCCTAAAAACCCAACAAGACAAAAACAAAAAATCAAAGGATATCCAGATGTTTCAGAAACTGGAGTCTTGCAGAACTTGTTTTCCTACCTTAACGTAATTTCTCATCAGTTTCCGTTTAGCTCCACTGCATTGTTGAGCAAAAGACAAAGCTTGGTCCACGGAAATTCCCTTGCTGTGTCGTGATGACATCACTGACCAGTGCCTTTTCAACCAGCTTCATATACTGAATCAAAGAAAAAACTTACAATAGAAAGACAAATACCAGTTAACCAAAAAATGGAAAGGGCCTGAGGCATAGCTACCCTATGTAAAATTTGTGTGCAAGTATTTTTAAAATTCATTGCTAAAAATAAGAAAGTGATATTTTTGGAGAATCATTTCAAGACATGGAAGGAAAACAAAATTCACTAATTTCACAGCGTCTTTTATATAATCACTTTAAATGAAAAACAATAAAATAAAATATCTCAAAATGAGGACCACAAAGCCCAATGAACTGACCTATAAGAAAAAAGAAAAAAACCAAAAAAAGGAAAGGGAAAAAGCAGCAATAATATAATAAAATGCTTATTACCTAAGTTAGGGTGGGGTAGATAGACCAAAAAATATTTGGCTTTCAATCATGACATACGACCTCAAGCCAAAAATTTTTGCTTCTTCCCTCCAACTCAATACAAATGTAGGTACAGAGTATTACACTGGAAACTAAACAAACTGCCAAGAATTGAGCCTAAAAGATAGGTCAGAGTTTATTATAAAAGGATACAGGACAATTGGATCTACACCATCAAATTTGTGCCTGTTTACTCTTTGATCTCTGCTGTAAATAACCTCTCTCATCTGAAAGAAGTTTAAATTCAGCATTATAAAAGGCCACAACTCTGCATCAAAGCTAAACTTGAGGTATTTAAAAAGAAATATTAAATGGTAGAAAGAGAATAGCACAAATTATTGTCAGGAACATTCTCCCTCTCTGAATAAAAAATTGTTTGAACTATCGAAAAAAAGATAACAATACAGATAACATGTCATATAGAAACTCTCACAAGAAGCTGCAAGTTTTATAACAGAAAGGTAGTTTCTTATAGGAGGTTGAGGGTAACCAGATCATTTTTCAAAAGCAACAAACAGCAATCAAAATCTGCCACAATTTGAAAGCAAAAACTACAAGATCACAAAGTAGATGTACTGACAGTAACCCAACCAAGCTCCTTTCACAAATTCTTCCTTCTGTTTGTTATACATTTCATATAATGTTAGTTCCGAGATCTAGGCATTGATTCAAATACTATTCCCCACTGTACAGTAGGTGATACATTTCTTTTTTCTCACCACCTGTCTGCTTGATAGTGTATTGATGTTGGACTGTGAAATTGTTTCTTGGTCACTCCTGGTAGTGAGAGGGTTTTAAGGATCACACATTTAATAATAAAGTACTCACTGCACTTGTCCACTTCTCATAAGCTTTTTCTGAGTCACAAATAAGATCCAAGGAACATAACTGACTCCATTCCCCTATAAAAAGAAAACATGCTGCTGAACTGACCAAGAATAAATTTGTGAAAATGCCAATACAAACAACTGTAGGGCAAAATCATGTATATATAGTTACTGATTATCTTAGCCCACAATTATCTTCCACCACAGCACCAGTGTCCATTAATAGCTGTGGTTTTCTGTTGTGTACCTTAATTTTCATTTTAATCAAGTGTGACCTTCAGGGTATACTTCTGATCTAAACAGTGTCAAGGAGTCTTTGTATCAATGTTAAGTCACATCATATGGTTGAATCAAGGTCTAGTATGTGTTTTGAAGTTCTCTCCTAAACTGAGTTCATCCACATTTTTAAAATGAGTTTTTTTCATCTGCAATATTCTCTACAGATAAAAAATTAATACCTTGTTGTTTCTCAAACATGAGTGAGAAAGACTGCTCCTCAACTTCATTGTAAGGAAACTTGACAAAGTTTTTGGTTTGTTGGCCACAGCGTACCTCAATAACCCTGTCTAAACACACTGATGAAACAAAACAAAATACATCATCCACATAAAGCATTAAGCACAGAAAAAAGTTTTGTTGACCCCTTAAACCCTATAAGTGACTGACTTCTAATTTCTCCTCACATCAGTCCCTTGAATCAAATGTAAAGGTTATAAGAATAACAGAAATTATCACCAATTAAAACAGCTCTGATGGTCAAACAAATTCTCCTTGTCAGTACTATATGAAATATAGAAAGATCAGTAAGGAGAATGTGAATACTAATGAAGGGGTATGAGAGGGTTGATTAACCTCAATCAAACAGCTAGGAAAATGGATAGAAATACAATTAAGATGCAAACTCACAAGTGTTGGTAAAAGAAAAGCTATGACCTTTTCCCCTTTTCTTCCACATGATATGCTGTAAAATAGAATATGACAGATAAAAATAATTCTACGACCTACAAGTGAAACAATTTTTGCTCATATACTCAGTTAATAAATATAATTTTATCTCCTAAGCTCAAAATATCTTCTCTCTTACCAAGTTGTCTTTGTCAAGCTTAAATACTCTTTCATGTGGAATTGACCTCCCAATACGTGCATACTTTATCATTGGAAACTCCTGATGAAGCTCACTGGCAGCTGGACAATAATTTAAAAAATGCATGTTAGGATTGAGTAACCATATATGATGTCAGTGGATGGATCTATAAAGTCAATAAACATGATATCTTGTCTTTATGATAAATTTACTTATAATGTACAGTATTTATCAATTAATCACCAAAGGAGGTGAAGAATGGTGGATATTTACTTTCACTGATGTTTCACGGTTTAATAAATATCCACAAATTTCACCAACATTGAGGTGAATACTTGTGTTAGTACGTACTACAAAAACAAACAAACAAACAAACAAGGAGTTTACTCTGATGATATATCAAAAATGGTCAGAAATTAAACTCTTGATGCATGGTTTTGTCTCTTTGTCTATTCAGCTGATAATCACTTCCAAACTAGGCAATCAGTACATGCAAAGAGTTCTAGTCACCTGTGTGGTATGTCCTAAATTGAGATATGAAGTACTGATTCTAAGATAAAAAATAACCTAAACAATTAAAAACGAATCACATTATGATATTATGAGGTCTAACAATATAAGTCGTTGTATGCTGGTCTATGTTATCATCAGCAAACACAAAACAAAATTATTCACCTGAAATCAAAACTCCATCACCAACAGGGCAAAACAAAGAAGGATAGAGCATCTACAAAAAAAAAAATCAAGAAATATGTATCAGCAATTATAAATATTGATTCAAATGACTTTTTGATGACTTTCTATCATTATTGCCACATAAATTTTAGAGATTATATGCTTTCCTTATAGAATGTAAAAGCATGCAGATTTTTAGCTGCTTGATATTAACCCTAGAATGTAGCATGCAGATGGAGTAACTGGTAACTAAAGGTTAATTTTTGAGCTAAAATAGAGTTGGATTGTGTGATCAGTTAAGGTTTCTTATCAGTTAATGTTTCTTATATTGGATACAAAGCATCCTGTACCCAGTAGTTCAAAGGGTGGATAACACTATCAACTGGATAAACCTCCATCCCATGGATAATGCAATACCTTTCATGAACACTTATCCACTGGACAGTGATTTATGTGTTGAATAGTGTTATCTGCCCTTGGAACAACTGGACCCTGGGCATGAAGTAATATAGTTTTCCTAAGAATTACACATTGCTGTTTAGCCCTAAATCAAAGGTGTTTCACTTGGTATGGAAATATAAATTCATTTAATGCAATTGGCTTGCTGGCTTATGAAATACTGCAGACAAACCACTCATTCACATATTTTTACAGTTATTCAGATGACAATGTATTTGGGTTGCAATACAACTATCAGACATGATAGTCTTTATATGGAGTGCATGTACTTTAATAAACTTCACTTCAGCACTAATCAGTACAGACAGACATCCAGGTACCTTCATCTTTGGTGCAGCATTCAAAGAACATTGTAAGCTATCTATTTCATCTTCCTTATGCAAAGATGAGTTTGCATCAGAATCTAAACACCACTGCTGAATTCCTAAATATAAATAATATCAAATTGCCATAATATTAAAATGTAAAGCTATGTGTCATTTTCATCAGTATAACTCTATGATTCGCAATTTAATACATAACATTTTTACGATGACATGATTGCCTTCTCTCTCATGAAGGTAGCTCCTTTGGTTCATCAGGGAAAGAAATGAACAAAAGGGAAAATGACAAAATTGACAAAGGAAGCCTGGGTTTGTAAAAGGTAAGATGGCTTGGTTACAAATACATCTCAACTCCCTGATAGGCCACTTCACAGTTGTGTACTTAGTTGCCAAGCCTTTGATTTGGAGTAAGGCTGAAGGTGACCTTGTTGTGATAGAGACCAGTATGTAGTTGGCATGATAACAAAGTGGATTACATTAGAAAAGCAGCAACATTTGTATCATAATAAGGTTAACTCTAGCCTCACTCCCATTCAAAGGCTTGGCAACCAAGAACGCAACTGTAAAATGGACTACTGTCTTTCCAACTCAGACTTGTCCAATATAATAAGCAAACTAGAAAATCAGATATAAACAATATCCATACAACATCAAGTCTTGATTTCATTTTTTTCCCCAAAAATCTAGGATGCAAATTATCGTCAAAATCAAAATGTTGATCAACAAAATAGAACCTGACATTTTTTCTTCCAAAAAACTGGGTGGGTTACATGATGGGAAATGCAACATTTCACTAGCAAGGCCAAATGAAATCTGCTATATTTTTAAGTGTTGTTTTACCATTCTCAATGGCCTCTATCCATGCTTGACATTCTTTTATTCCAGACGCTTGTAAAATCAGTGGATGTTTAAAGGGGCCAGTGATCTTTAAGGAGTTGTTAATTTCTCGCAGCTTCTCCACAGCATCTATGGCAGCCAATGGAAGACTTCCCTTGAGTTTTTCCTAATAAGAAAGGATCATCACTTGATTATCAATATTCAGGAGTTGTTTAGAGCATTGTCCCCTAAGAGTGATTAGCATCTAATTTCTCCCTACAAGATCAACCAAAAATCACACTTTATGGTCACAAGGATAATGGAAATGATCACCAAGACAAGTTCTTGATTGTCACACAAATTATCTTTTTCAGCAACTTGGGAAATGTATTAAGAACAGTATGGAGAATATGCATACTTATGTTAGTATGTCAAATTCACCCTCTTCCAAAGTTAATATAATTTTGCAGAATTGGCTTTAATCTATCTCTCCCAACTCCCTGAATTTCGTTTTCTCCCTATTATAATTATTATTTTTAACTATAAAATGATCTGATCTTTATCAAGATCATTTCCGAACAAGATCAAGCACTTATTTGAGTTGATTATATCTGGGGAGCTTCGTGTTGTTTGCGTTTTACTCAAGTTATTGTGCAACGCAAGTGGAAATTTTGCAAGATTTCCATAGAGTGCCATACATCATTACACATACAATTTCTTAATAAAAGAAAACAAGAGTAAAAAAAAAAAAGCAGAATGTCTTTGCGACTAAAGCTTTGGTCTTGAACAGAATGGGCTTATGCGTGAATCTTTCCGAAAATTCCATGAAAATGCACGAGAACATTTGTGAAGTTTAGCTTATAGAATACATTATATCATGTGTTGTTCTTTTACCCTGTTATGGTTTCTGAAATGATCCAGGGAGCTCTTGGTTAGGACAAAGTATCTGCTTCGAGATGAAGTTCTCCCTGGGTGATGAGAAATCTTCCACAAATATCCACTCTTCACAACTGCAGTTGATTCTTGGGAGAACGTAGTTCTGCTTCTCTGCCGCTCCAAGCTCCTTGTGGCTCTTCCCTCTAAATAATTCATTGTGCAGGCTCGAGATTACATCGCATTGTACGACATCGTTCAATCTTCTCCACAGACAATAAAAGTTACTTTTGGAGCCTAAATTTCCCCAAAGGCGTTTTGAAAGCTTTCCATTGCTTTCATGTCGGTCAGATTGTTATTTAAACTTTGCAGACCTATGACAAGTGAGCAGCTTCGTCGTTTTGCCCGCCAAAAAGACAAGTGTCTGACTAAGCTTAAATCATTTATAAACAGGAAGGATCAATTAGAGAGACACTTGATAAGTCCCTAAGGAAATTGGAAGAATTAAAAGTCAAAGACACTACACAAAAGCACGCAAATACCCAGACAATAAGAAGCGACATAGCATTTTCCTACCAGGGTAGGGTAACGTCAAGGTATTAGAATTGAGTAGATCGTGAATCCTGCGTATTTTAATTCAAAGTTTGGATTAAATTGAATTTTTTCTCATCCTTTAACTTCTATAATGCAAAAAACACCTACAAGAAAGGGCAAAATTTTCTAAACTCCAAAACTATTTTTTCGGAAACTACCTCCTACCCTACCCTACTTAAAAAGTAAATAATCATGAAGGCCATGGCTGCTCTTTCACTCAGACGCGGTCGCAAAGCTTAAGGGGACGCCATGTTGTTTGACTGCACTAACAGCACTTGACCATCCTTTCATTTAACACATTACTTGTTGTATTTTCACTAGTGCAAGATGGGGAGGCGGTCTATTTCAACGACAAAGAGTGGGAAGTTTATGAACCCCACTGATCAAGCGAGTAAGATGGCTGAAAATATTCTTCCATCTCCACTCAGTTTCTGTCACCTTGAGTTTTCCAGCTTTCATTGTACTAATGGATTTTGTTATTTTTTAAAGGGAAAGAAGCAAGAAAAAGAGAGTTGAAGAAGGTATGTGTGATGGATATCATAGCCTGTGATGCTGGTGATTGAGAATATTTGAATATTTATTAGATGACAGATTTCGAGAGGTTTAGCCTGCTGCAGCTATGAAAGTTACGAATTAGACTACTCATTTTCAAGTCATTAGATTCCATAAGGATTAAACTTACCTGAGTTTGTTGTATCTTCCTCTCAAAACAGTTGTAGGTGTTTGAACAAATGTGAAAAATGAGCTGTTTTTTTTCTTTTTTCGAATAACCATTTTCTTCTTAGAAAATCTTGATTGTTTGACTTTTGTTTCCATAATTATTTCAATATAGATGGATAAAAAAATCAATACTTTTTGTAAGCTGATCTACATGTATGCTTCTACCTATATTTCATAAATTAACAATACACATGTGTGGATTGTTAAAGACCTATGCAGCATATACACAGGTGCATGTTTCACTTCTATGCCAAAGATATGCGATAAAATTTCTGCACAGCCCCATACTTCATTATGCATTCAGTTCTTGACTAGAGAAAACAATGCCAAAAACAATACATTTCCATTGGGAAAACAGATTTGAATTACACTAGTATGGGGCTGTGCGGAAATTTTACCAGATATGCTAAGTGTTTTAAATGTTCTCAACAAAATTTTGAAAATCCATGCTTAAGTACTTTTGCTTTGTTCAAGCTTGGTACTTATGTTTTTATGTCCTCTCTGCAGCACCCTGAAGTTCAAATAGATTTTAAATTTCTTTTAGTACTATAGCAGCCATTAAACACTGGATACCAAGCCTCCAAATTCTAAAACTTAAAACAGGAAGTAATTCATGTATTTGTTTATTTTCATACACTAGAATAAGAAGCAGAGGAAGATGGTACGGGAAGCTGTGTTAAAATCCAAGGACCCTCAAAGGATATTAGAGGAAATTGAGAAAATTGAAACCATGGGTAATGTAATACTTTTGCACCTGGTTCTTTGCAGAACTAATTTAAAGTAATAAATTGATAGAATTTTACAGCGCACATCAAGAGATAATGGTCTTGAAAAGCCCTATGAGTTTACAAATTATCAAACATCACTTTTAACCCTTTAACTCCCAAGATCTAATTGTTAATTCTCCCCTCTAGCTGCTACACATTTCCTTGTAAATATGTTATGAGAATTTGGTGTTACATCAGTGTAACAACTTTTATCTGATAGGTTTGAGTATTCTCATTGCCTTTTTGCTGAATAGTGTACAGATATTATAGGGAGAAGTTACATGGTAATCTTTTTTGGGGATTAAATGGTTAAAAGTGTACACTGTATGTCAATAGTTCCACTGTCTAATACTTTATTAGACAGGTAATTACCAATCAGCAAAAATGTTTTCAAAAAGCCCCTGAAAGAGTTCACATGGTCAGGACCACACATTTCAATTCTAAAACAGCTCTTGGACCAGAGAGAGTTTTGTTCTTGATCAAGTTAAAAGCCACGTTGTTTTCTAGGGTTTGTGGTACTTGAATGGGGATGTGAAGGTTGTTGAAAATTTTAGCTTCCTTATATTTGGTGTCCTGATTCTTGGACATGAAACCTTTTTGTTTTCATTAAAACTAACACAATACGTATACACCAGTACAAAAAACCTTGTGAGCATTCTTCTTTTTTAACAGTTTGTGTATAATAATTTCTTTAAATTATTTTTATGACCTAAATAAAATGTATATAGTCACTGTGAAATTAGACATCAGTATTTGTGTTTCAGTTCATTTGCTCATCTTCATCTTTATCTTTCTTTCTTCACATAGAAAGTCAGTATTAATTTTTAACATTTTCTATATCATTAGAAATTGATGCTGGGCCAGTCCCACTTCCCAATGACAAGGCACTTAAAGAGAAGAAAAGAAAGCTGAAGGAAACACTTGACAGAATGTTGAAACTATATGTGAGTCTTTCTGAAATTTGTTTTTCTGATTGTTGTTGACCATAATTTTTTACATTCTTATGATGTTATTGTATCTGTTTCCTGAAACATCTTATTTGTTATTAATGAAACTTTTTGTAGGAGAAAGATGATCCATCTCACTCTGGACAAATGAGGCAGTAAGTAAAAACAAACAAAAAATGGTCAGTCAATCTGTGACTTTGGCAATTGTTGTTTTATCTGTGGGAAAAGAATAGGTTCCTTGTTGCCCTAAGTCTGTTCAGTTATAATATTACTGTAAGGGATGAATGATGAAAAATGTGCATCAGGCAGTTGACAGACAACTTGAACTCACTTTCTTTAATGAGAGTGGGCCACTTTTGCTTCAATTCAGTGATTCAGTGATACAATCATTGAACGTTCCCACCAGTCAACTAGGGAAGCAAAAATGTTAGTGTTACTCAGGTCAGGTCATTTAGGCCAGGTTAGGCCACTTAATGCATCAGAAGTTGTTCAGCCACCTCTAATGACTCTTTAAGATGTCCTGAGATTTTTTCCAATTATATGCTGCCCTCTATGATGTGGGAAAGAAAATCTTATGAAACTGCATCTAAGATCTTATGGAATTAATGAAACTCAAACTTGTCTTGCAGATTGATTGCTGATAGTGAGAGGAAACGTTTACAGGCTCAAATGTCTGCTCATGGTAATGTGGATAACTTTTTCATCCTGATTTATAGACTGTAATTTATATTTGATACCAGGAACTTTTAAGAGGGCTTCTTTGCCTGCCAGAGTAGATCACATTTTATAAATTTTTGCTGCTACCTTGACATGTTTATACCGATACTTGTATGTTAGTTCAGGCTGTCAAGTTTCTTGATCTTGTTTTAGCTGCAAACAGGCTTATCAGTATCTCTGTGACAGAGATTTTTTTTTGAGATCTTTGGCTTTTAAAATTGTCCTTCAGAAAAAAATGAACTAAGCACAAATGAAGGGTTTTCAAGCTAAGCTGACAGTTGGTGCATTTCACCATCTACTCTGATAAATGTGCCAGCTCTTCTGAATGCTTGTGGCTCAAATTTTCAGTTTGGAAGTATGACATTGTGCTGCCTATTTTGTATCACAGTCCCCATGCTCCTAATCTTTTTGACAAACAGCAAACTGCTATTTTTGCACATGCTGATTCAGCCCCTTGTTTCACAAACTTTACAATTTTGATCTTCCTACCAAACACAAATCTCACCTGTGATCTTGCTTCAGACCTCATTTCAGCATTTCACACAAGAAATTAAGAAAAGAAATCTTGAAATGCTCAAGCACATTTAAAGAAAACCAGTGGTAATTGTAAGATAGACATGACACTTGTACTGCAAACATATCCATCATTTTAGCAAAATGGCCCCTAATTGATTCTCTGTGATGGTTTATCTCTGCCGTAAGATCTTTATTGAGAACAGATACATGTATTTGCCAGAAAAAAAACATCATTTATTATCTTTTTCAGAAATACGACAAAAAGCTCTAGCAGAGGTAGGTGTGGGTACAATGTACAATTAAATAGAGAATTTAAACTGACAGTGCAATTAGAAAACTGGCAGATTTAACAGGAACAAAAGGAGGTCAGTTCAACCCTGACTTGAAAGAGTGCTTATCAACCAACTTTCTGTCAAGTGTGTATTTTTGTCCTGTGGGTTGGGAGAAGACTACATTTTCATCAGGTCTTCCTTAATTTTCTGAATTCACCCATGGCAAAAACACTAGAGGAGGGTGATTAAAAAAAATTAGGGAAAAGGATAATGAAGGATATAAACTTGAGCTAAAAACCACAGAGGATTTTTTTGTAGAAGAAACATGTAGAGAAAGACACTATAATTGTATGGCATGTCTTAAACTCAGGTTCGTGTACCTGGGACAAAAGTGTATTGAAAAGCTCCAAGATTTTTCTTCACATTTTCCTTGATGTGACACATGCACATGTACTCTGTTATCTTCCAGGAAGCAAGAATGCCTCCTGACATCCCTCTGCCACCAAACATCCCTCTTCCCCATGCAGGTATCATACTCTCTGTAAAGGAGAATTCTGAGTTTTTTAAATGAGTTTGTAGTTAAGATAAAAGAGAAATTTTTTTGTCACTCATGTTATGTCCACACTGTTGTGTAGTGTGTATCCATATAACTCTGTCTTTAGTGTTCCTTGACAGGTGGGAGAGGTACTGTTCATCTGATTAATGTTTTCTCTGTAGCACTGATTAACTCTTAACTTGTTCATAACTGTTAGGAATGTTAATGCCAAGTGATATCCCTCTTCCTGGACCCTTACCTGGACAACTGTGAGTAGCTGATCATTGTGCAATTTTATACCGTGTACATGTATCTATTGAAAATTGATTTTGTGATCTGCCATGAAGAAGTTTTCTTGTAGTACAGAGGTCAAACAGGGTTTTATAACCAAAACTCAGAAAAAAGAGGTCTTTGCAAACTCTATTTAATACTTATAACAAGTGTAAGCTAATCCTTGGCTAACTCCCCAGAAGTTACAATTACCCAGTACCCACAGTACAATTACTGGCAAACAAATCTTTGCAGCTGTGAATCACATGCTAAAAAGATTTTAGTGAGTTTTTTAGATTCTCTACCAATAAAACACTCTTGTTTCCTTACATACTTTAGGCCCCTTCCTCCAGGTTTGATCCCCCCAGGTCCTCCTCCTGGGCCTCCACCAAAACGCCCCTCAGGAATGATCCCACCTGGTCCCCCACCAGGACCCCCACCAGGTATACCACCAATGAGTGCTCCCCCACCCCTCCCCCCTGGAATAGCACCTGAGGACATGGAAAGTGGTCAGTATGATGATGATGATGACAGTGAAGGGAGCACCAGTGAATCAGGAGGTGAGGAAGAGGAGTATGATCCTGCAGTTCCACTTGGAAGATTGGAGGGAGATGCTGGAGATGGCCAACCACTTGGAGACAGACGAAACAGCAGAGATGATGGCATGGATGACAGTGAAGGAGATAAAGGTTTTTGACAATATTTTGATCAAGCAAAGGCTAAACTCAGAGTTCCAATTACTGCAATTGATTTTTACTGGTTTCGTTTAATTAAAATTAACGGTTTGAAAAAAGAGACCATAAAATGTTTGTAAAGATTTAAGTATGTACAGGTGCAGCCATAATGCAAGGTTTTCTTATGAAATGCTTTTTTTTTTTTGCAGCCAGCTAGGTTCACCATATTTTGTTGGAGTTATAAGTTCTACAGTGGCTCTGCTAAAAATCATTAAATATGTTTTAAGCAAAAGTGGAGTTTTATGGTTTTGCTGTTTGCAGAAATGGGAGAGCGCCAAAGAACTGTGAGGTTTGCAGATGAAGTTGAAAATAGTGGGGGTGAGAGCCAGTCCTCAAAAAGCGCTGGTACCACTTCAATACAAGACTTTCTTCTTAAAATGGCAGGCCAACCCCTCCCTGATAAACCAGTGAGTAGTTTTAATTTAAGTACTCTGCCATTACCAGGAACACTCCTTATGAAATGTTCTGTTTCTGACTGCTTGTAGGCTTACCTTTTTCAGATCATATCGTCTCCCATGTACTTATTCCATTCTTGATGTGATTTATTTTTTCTAGCGTTGCAATTGTTGGTTCTTGTTTGGAAACCATTGTGTTAAACACAAAAGCAAAAAGGCAAAAACTCTGCTGCAAAAAGTTATCCCTTTTAAGGGAATTTTTTGTCCTCAAGGCTCATTTTTGTACTGAGAGGTTTTGTGTAAAAATATCTGTGATCTTGCACCTTGAAGAGATGCAAAATTTTGCCTAAATTTTATGCCCTTACACAACAGGAAGCAGGCAATGAAGGAGATCAATCCAGAAAAACCATGGCACAAACAGGTCAACCCCAACCTCCAGGGCCACCACCTGGCCCACCTCCTGGACAGCTTCCCCTACCTGGAAGTCAGCAGCCTGGAGGTCTACCCATTCAGCCAAACTTTCAGATCAGAGCCCCACCCCCAAGAATGTTTCCTCCTGGCCCACCACCTGGCAGACCCCCAGGCCCTCCTCCAGGGATGCCTGGCATGGTCCCTCCTGGTCCACCCCCAGGGTTACCACCTAATATAATGGCACATGCTATGGCACGAGGGCCCAGGCCTCTAATGCAACAGCCAATGCCATTGCCACCTGTGAGACCTGGCATGCCAAGACCCCCTGGCCCTCCTCCTGGTATGATGCCCCCTCCCCCACATGGAGCAGTTTTATCTGCACCCCCAACTTTTATAAGCAAACCTCCTATGGCCAACCCAGCTGGAGAAGTTGGAAAAGGTACATTATATTTTTAACATAGGTTGGAATAAATCCATTGTTCTTACGGCCTTTTTTCAACATTATTACATGGAATCAGTTTTAGAGGTGACTCTGACAAGAAAGTGAATGTTGCGTTCAAGATTCTAGAAGATATTTTGAAAAAGCCATTCGGTCTTGAGACTAATTGATACTGTTTAAATATTAAGTCGATGGTATGGGACGATAGTGTGTCGCCATTCCAGTGAAAGCTTAAATGTCTAATTTCATGTAATGTCCCTGCAGGTCATCATGTAATTGCCATGAAGCCATTGTAATTTACAGCATGTTCAGAAGTGGATGATACTCTGACTCTCGTGATGCTTCTCAGCGATATTTAAATTTAGTATTGTTTGTTTTGCCCAGCAAAAACGAGTGACTGCTAATGTTCATTTTTAGTCATGGAAGAATTAAAACTCTATCTTACAGTCCCGCTTTTTTAAAAAACAGGTGCAACGATCAGCAAAGAAGCAACAGCAACGATCAGTGCTAAACCGCAACTGAGGAACACTCAGGCAGAACTAACAAAACTTGTACCCACTGCTCTACGAGTCAAACGAGAACAACCGAAGAGTAAAGCAAAACTTCGGCCCCCTGGAGCCGTCCCAGAGACTGTTGAGAGTATACCGCAACAAGTTTCACAACCAAAGGTTGCCGAAACTGGCACTAAAGACGATGCGTACGCGCTTTTTATGAAAGAAATGCAAGGACTTTTGTAAATGTATTGAGAGGTTTTAAATTTGTGTGCCATCGATGTAGCCTTTCGTAAAGGGTCGTGCTCTGTTCAAAGTATGTGCATGCACGCGAAGGGTGTATTTTTTGTTTGTTTGATTTTTTTTTAACCGCCGATTTAGTAAAGAGTACCAGATGCAAGATTATTTATAGAATATGTTTTCGCTCTTCTCACCATTTTCAAATTAAGCTTTTTTTTATTTGCTAAGTAACCAGTGCCATACTCCAAAACCTTACGGTATGCATTGGAACTGCACTGGAACCCTCGGGATTGGGGAAAGTGCTCCCTTTGATACAGGTCTTCCCCCTCCCAATAAAGAGCCAAAGATACGTAGTCGAAGGGGGGGGGGGAAATGAATTTTGTATCCCGTCAAATAGGGCTGTTCTGTGAGAAAGGTTCCATTGTGCTGTTGAAATCACTACTGTTCGAATTATTTCTTTGGATATTCCAGCGTTGTAAAGCCACAAAGTTTTACATAACATATCCTTTTAATCTGTCTACCAAGGAGATACAAAAGTGCTAAACAATCTTGGTTTAATAACTTTATTGCTGCTTTTGAACTCTATGATTTTCTGGATACGCTGCTATTTCAACAAATCCAACGCTATCCTAAAGCACTGAAGATGCTTTGGAAACTCCAACACCAAATTTCAGACCAAATATGATTTTACTCGTGTCCTACAAAAGTGGCTGTTCTCTTTTCCCTACCTATCAAGAAAATAAAAATGGTAAAATAAAACGGAAACCTTCGGCTAAGGTCCGTTGTTTTGCATGTGCAAACTGTTTGTTAGCCATACAGGACAGTAACGTACCAACTGGCCTTCTGAAATATGACGAGTCTTCGTCTGAAATTATAGTTTGTCACTTAAATCATAACGGTTGCTATTATCACCGACTTGAAACTACAAAGAAAATGCTACTCTTACTGAGTCAACTTTCCGACACAGTCGTAGAAGATACATGCCAAGAAATTTTCTGCCCAAAATCGAACTTCGATTATGAGAATGGAGTTCTGCCAAACTGTAACTCTTTAAACTTTCCAATCTTTTTTACGGTACATGGTTAATTGTTTTAAGCTGCAAGAGGACCTATTGCGACTCTCAAATGACCAAAGTCCTAAATTCATTGTTCGAATGGGCATAAAATTGGAATGGCTTCACAGCTTTACTTTGCAAATTGTATCTTCCCCTCACCAACTTCACCAACTCCACAAGGTACTGCTTTGCCAAATTGCTCTTTCAACATTTTTGCAGCCTCTTTCACCTGGTCGGAAGAACTTTTTCCCGTTTTGCATCGCATAGCAAAGTGTTCACAATTATTGGTTAAGGGACTGTATTTCTCCTCACCAAGCTTACTCCTTGCTCTCTGAACAACAGTGGCACGATCCAAGCAATGTTCGTGTAACATCAAGTGCACAACTTCACTTTGCAAATTGTATCTTCCCCTCACTACCTTCACCCACTCGATATCTTTGAGATTCCTTGGTAGAGAGCTAAAGTACCATATGCAGCCGCGTTCCCCGTAAACGATCCTGTAAGTCCACCTACTACACTTCCTACCAGGCCTCCAACAAACGGAATGGGAATAGCAAGTTGTCCAACAACAAATCCTACAGAAGATCCTCCAAATCTTCCAACACCGGTCGCGACTCTCTTACCGACGACTTTGTTAAATTCTTCGTTGGTCATATTTCCCTGCTTCATGTCTTCGTGCGCGCTTCTGATGTCATTCAATGTGCTGATTCCTTCTAACACGACTCCACACGCTACTCCTAGGATTGCAGAATTAGATACAGTTTTTTTCACGCTTTGGGTAAACACTTCCTTTGTTGTTATAGAGGTGGTCACAGCTTTTTTGAAAGCCTGGTTAGTTATTTTCTTTGAAACCACTTGAACTCCAGCTTTCACAAATTTTGCTGATTTTTCTATGAAAAGGTTTTCTAGTGCTGTGCCTAATTCCTTTCCCACCATATCTTCAGCTTTATTAACCTGGTCGGAGGAACTTTTTCCTGTTTTGCACCACATAGCAAAGTTTTCACAATTATTGTTGAAGGGGGAGTATTGCTTTTCCCCGAGCCTACTCCTTGCTTTCTGGATCACTGTAGCACGATCTAAACAATGTTTGTGAAACAACAAGTACACATCTTCATTTCGGAAATTGTAGCTTCCCCTAGTTACCTTTGCCAAGTCGAAACCTTTCCCTAGAGGAGAGCAGTTTTCTTTTAAGAATTCTTTGGCTGTGTTGGAATACTCAATGACGTCTATTTGGTCTGTCTCCAAATGGATATATTCGACTATACAATGATGCCAGTAGGAACCAAGCATTCGATGGAATGCGATATGATCTCCAATCTGAAGCTCGCCAAGTGAATTTACGCGTCCTCTGGGCACTTCGTACTTCTCTCCATAGCTGTTATACAGTTGAACATTGGCAGCCATGTCCTAAGGATTTATCATGGATACAAAAGAAAATCTGAACTAAGTATAAGCACCACTCGTGTCTAAGGATGATCTCTACATATAATTCCCCTGTGCTGTTTTAGATAAACAAACAACTCGGAATCTAAGTGACTTACAATCTGTGAAATTTATGACACTAGGTAAGGCGTTATCATTTCAGAGAACTCATTGACATTATTACCTTCAGTATAAAGAGTTTTGAAATATTTTATAATTGAAGACTGATTTGTTAGGTCTTCTGTGTTTTAAGTCTCTATCAGTGATTGCAGTTCAGCTGTGAGGATTATTAAGTTACTCAAGCTAGTTATTTTGATTCTTCTAACTATTTTCGCTCACCAGCATGTACAGGACAACAAGAACCGGTTGAAAGAAACATAGAGTGATCTCAAAAGACTTGTAGTTGTATGAGATGTTTAGTCGAAATTTAGTAAGAATTTTTGTCTGGAATTCAACCGACGAGATGGAAGGAAGGTCAAGTGCAAAGTGAAAACGGAAGTCTATCTTCCACTTCTAGGCTGCATGAGAAATTACTGTGCTTTAAAGATGCACTGTTTTCAATATGTGAGGCGACTTGTATTTAAAAACACTTAGAAATGAAGTACAAACCGTACAAACAAAAGTAATTCGTAATCTCAGCGATTTGCCATGCATCTGAAAAATTTATTACTCGACAGGTAACTGAAGCGTTAGCTAGCTTTCCAAGAATTCGGGACATATTATCTTCCTTCACATGCAAGGCTTTTCGACAGACAAGTACCTAGTAATCATTCATCGAAAACTAATTGACTGCATATGAGTAAAATAAAGATTCCTGTGAGATGCAGACCGAAAGAGACAACTATGAACGGGCATATTAGAAAATTATCTTTTCTAGTTCTCAACGTGCATACAATGTTCGAATCATTCTCGCTACCTCAGGAGTTTAAATTTCAAGTCTGAAACTTTCTTGGAAAGAACTTACAAAGGCGTTTACTTTATTGTTATTATTTTGGAACCAGACGAGTGGAGGCTGACACGGTGGAAAATAAACGCCGACCGCTTCACATTTCTTGAGGGATTGAACATGGAAGCGATGATAATAATCCAGTCTACCGGCCATTTCCGCTTCGGGTAATTTTTTGGGGTGCCTTTTCTTATCGAATCGCAAAGTGCGCCTCTCTTAATTTTATTTCAAATGATCGAACTACCAAGAGAACCATCTCACTTCCCAATGTAAAAGACATAGAAAACCAGAGGAGGTGCGTATTGGGGAGTTAAGCTCACTACAGCGCACCATGTAAACAAGTCCACCTGAATGTCTAGAAATATGCGTACTGAATTAGAAGGAGATTTTCAGTCAAGATAAAGTAAAAATTTTTCCTTAGTCTTCAACCGTAGCGTCGGAAGACACCAAAAGTAGCATTGTTGGTTTAACACCTTTTGAGATTATTGAGGCGAATTGTATTCAGATACGCTTACTATTCAAAAAATAACAGCCGGAACTCTTGATCTAGTCTCGCGATCTGAACAATTTACAAATAAATTGGCAGGCAGAGCGCTAATGTTTCTAGGAAATATTTGCTTCATCACTCTATCAACGCATTTACATAGGTTTGTGAGAAATTATCAGGGAAAGAATTCATAACACTGTATACTTTATGATATTTTACATCTGAACGACAGGAAGATAACTACAACTAGATAGACGCCAACTGTTCCATGTTTTTTAGTGAGGTAAAATGGAAATAACACGTTAGCTAACCGAGACTTCCGAAAAGTTACGGGGAAATTTTAACTGAGGTTGTTTTCTTTTAGGAATGTACACATTTACTGAGGATTTTCATGAATAATTGAACCAAAACGGAAAAGGAAAAACGGTTAAAGACAAAGGGGAGTTCAAGTTAGCGGAAATGACTGAAAAATGCGCATCGAGGTAGAAACGAGGAGTTCGAGTGGACCTAGTTAGATCGAATTCATGTAGCAAAGTTGCCTGGTGATGTGTGTTACGGTATAATCTAACCGACAGAGAAACACTGCAATCCTACAAACTCAACCACTTTATTAAACAACGAGTGATATTCTTCATAAGGAGGGACTCCTAAAAGCAGTATTGTACTTATACTCGATAAACTTAATTAAGCCCACTATAGTCTATATCCTAGTTCACCACTGACCCAAACTCACAGTTTTCTCCAACGTCCCTTGCAATCAGCAATCTTCCACTGTAGCTCTCTCTCACAGCGTAGCTTTCTAAACAGTTGGTCACTCCCGAAAACAACAACTACCACTACTACACATAAGAGAGTCTTTATATATGCATTTTCAGAAGCTTACAAAAGAACTATTTTAGTAGTATTACGTAGTAACCATATGTAGTAGTATTACGTAATAACCACGTGACTTGATGAACTGTTCTAGAAAGTTCTTAGACGACTTACTTGTAATTTTACTGGCATGAAAATATCAGTCATTCAAGGTCTTAGCTTGGATCGAATTAAATCTGGCATTACCAAATGTGTATGACAGTTCGCTCTCTAGCGTGTAATAAGACAACAATTGCAAACTTACTGCATTCAAGGAGGAAACCTTGTCTTGTAAATAACTCAAGGTACTCTTATTCTCATAGAACCAACTGCGACTCTGACCATTGTTCCAAATTCATTGTTCGAGTTAACATAAAATTGGAATAGCTTCATTGTAAAGCAGC